CCCACTAGGTTTAAATCTGGGACTCTCCACCATTTGACCTTAGAACTGAAGAAGCTTCTCGGATGAGAGGTGAAACGTCTTCAAGCAACTTAAAGAAGTCCAGACGCTTTTCTTTGCAAGCTCCTTTGACAATGTATGAACATGCTTGTTTATTCCTGAAATTGTCACAGCAGATTACACATCTGGCCCTTCTGTCTCAGGACAGCTGACTACAAGCCAGATAAAGACCAGCTGGTCATAAGCTAACATCATGCCAGCATGTCAGGCTCTAGTGTCCTACAAATCACACTTTCCCTCTGATAAACACTTAGATTACATTCTTAAACAATATAAAAGTTTTTTCACTAAATGTCAGAGTCTGGCAACGTTAGATCCACTTTAAGCAACTTTTCTCCTAACAGAGACTGCACAAAAATAAAACAGGCAAGACTTAGTGACAGAAAAGTTCAGAATATCCTCAACATCTCTGTCATGAGCCAAAAGTGACTGATCCACGCATCTCGACTCCTTTCACACTTACACTTCCCTCCAGAGTAAATGATGTGGACAACAGACATTTTGACAGCTGAGGTAGACGGCGCACTGACAGCCTACAACCACTACAGCTGAACGGCAGCCAGCATCGTTTGTAGGCATTTAAATTGCTGTAAAGGACTCGCTGGCCTACATTCTGTCATGAATGACATCAAGTCAGTGTGAGCCACAAACATCATTCCTGTCACAAGTTCAAGATGCAATCGGTGTTTGATAAAGCTGACAAAGCTGAGATGGTTTTTGTTTGCACTTGTTGCACTGCTGCACGCAGCTAAACATGATGCAGAGTGGAGTACACAGCTACAGCCATCACCCTGCAGACTCCGCTTTCACACGTGTCATCAGAGAGGGATGGAAAGCAGTCCTTACAGCGTCGTTATGACTAGACTGTGTGATCACAGGTTAATGAAAGCATTACGTTACCTCCACCAGAACATCAAAGATATCAGTAGACCAAAGAGCCAACCAGTCACATGGCTCCACCGTTTTCTCCAGGTAGTCTGCTGTGAAGTCCTTCACCTCTGAAGGCTTACAGTCTCCTACACACACAAGAACACAAGGACTGAGATCAGCAGTCTAATTTCTCAGGGTTACGATTATTAATATTAGCAGGCGTTGGTTACCGAGCATGTAGTCCTGGTAGGCCTTGAACCTCTCGTAGAACAACAGGTGGCTGGTCTGGAACGTGTCAGGAAGACTTGAACTTCCTCCCGAAGGTGGCTCACGTCTCTGCAGCCCAGTCCCCGATGCTTCAGTGTTATAGTAGTATGTTCCACTGTCGTCATCACTGCCATCTTCATCTTTCTTCTCCTCCTCGTTTTTAAACAAGGCTGTTAAAGACGGAAACACCATGGAGGAAAATCTTTGTTCACATGGACTATTTTACTGGTCAAAAGCAATAAGACTGACGGACTGTGTTTAAATTAACCTCATAAATGAAATATTCAGCGTTTATTTCCTGGTTTGTAGGGACTCCTGAAAAGCAAGTCTACCACACATCTGTTTGAGCGTTACCACTTAATCTGCGACACCTAACAGCTGGAGCGTATACTAGCATGTGGTACATTTGCACAGAGGGCTGAAAGAGCCATTCAAAATGTAAGCATAGCTTAGTGCCACAGTAGTGTTGAAGGTTCAGCCTACAGCACGATGTGTGCACGTTTATCTGCATCACTGTTGCAGAACCGTCTGCGTAGACGCGTCGCGTGAGCGAAACATGAAAGCTAACAGCGTTAACGTGACAGGCCTGCTACAAACACATATGCGCTGTCATTAGCACACATGGGTCAGTTAAGCAGTGCTAGAGCAGTCAAATGCACGGCAGGAAACCTACAAGCTGGTTCCTGTTTTAAAAGATTACAACGTGGATGATCACTGCTGCTGACCTCACCTCGATTTATATCCGCCCCGCCGTAGCCTTTACCGGCCGGGCCGTTGTCCGTGTCTCCGTTACCCAAGTCCAGATTAACCACGACCACGTCTGACGCGTCGTTCCCCGGACACGCAGCATCCCGCGAATCCTGCTCCATAAAGAACTTGTAAAATCTTTTCTTCTGCACGTTTAGGCTGAAAGCCACTAACGTCTCTTCGGAAAACAGTCACAAAACTAGCAGCAGCCACCCTGTTTTCAAAATATCCCGGTTTGGAGTGTCTCAACCAATCACAACAGGGCAGCTGCGGGATGGTCCGCCCCCTAGTGCAGACGTGTCGAGTAGCGTCCGCCCTGATGATTCTTATAATAATAATAATAATAATAATAATTATTATTATTATTATTATTATTATTATTATTAGGGCCCGAGCACTGAGAGTGCGAAGGCCCTATTGTGTCTGCTCCGTTTCTTCTTCTTATTATTATTATTCAGGAAAAACAAGGGCCTTTTTGAGGGCCTAAACATGCTCAAAAACTCATGAAATTTTGCACACATGCCGGGTCTGGTGATTTTGTATTTTTGTATTTTAAGATTTTGTATTTTAATGGTTTTACATATCAGCACTGGGAAATGTCAGTGTAATGGTGAAACAGCAAAAAACCGGGGGGATTTTCGAGACTAATGAAAATGTCCGGATTTTCCCACAGAGGACTCGTATGTGTGACTTCATCCCTGAGCAGCAGCTTTGTGGTTGTTCTGCGCTCACAGACGGGACAGACTGCGTGCATCAGCGCCTATTGATGTTTAAAAAATGCCAAAGCACAACTGCAGCTTTTCAGACGAACTGCAAAAAAAATTCCCTCGTACCGTCGTATTTTTCTTATACAGATGAGGCCTTATTTCTGTACCATTATTTAATTCCATTTTTTAATTTCATTTTTAATTAACATATTTAAACGAAGGCATCGTTTAAATATGTTAAAAACTGGGTCAAGTGTCCTCTGTTTTGGAAAATATGGTGATACAGACTGTATGTTGCAATTATTTTTGTTTTAATGAAGAGGACACTGATGTCATTATAGGGTCCAGACAGATAGGTTGTCCATTTTTTAAGAGTGAAGAGGGAATGACATCTGTAACTGATTCTGCGAATGCCAGATTAAAAAAATAAATAAATTCAGAGTAATTCAGCAATGCTCAACTATCTGTGTCAGAGTCCCTTGATTAAATTGATTAAAAAAGAACTGAACACTGAGTTTTTAATATACACTGGAGCGGACTTCTTCGGCTTCTTATTGGCGGTTAGCAAGCAACGTTTTGGTGCAGTACCTCCACCAACTGGAGTGAAGTGTGAATGGTATACTAACTTTCTACATATATATCTAGGACTGACCTCACACCCTATTGTTTGCCAGTGGTAGTTTCAGTCAATGTGTAAATGTGCTGTTGATACGGTTATAGGGAAACCTGCAGTCAGCTGAGACTGAAGTCACTTGGATGAGTGATGAAACGTTTTTCCCACTGAAAATGCTCCATCCAGACACACAGAATCAACCCTTTGGGATTTCCTTTCCTGGATGATTGAGTATACATCAAGCCATATATTTATAATATATATAATAATAAAATTATAAACTATATTCTCTCTATTAACTCAACAAAAAAGAACATCTGAACTAGAAATTTGTCCAAAACATCTTTATGTCCAGCTGCAATTTGTTGTTTTGTAAATTATGTAACAGTTCTCTCATATTTCGTAAAGAACAATAATGTTATACTGCCTCTTCTTGAAAACAAAAGTTCATTTTCCTGCAACATGGATTGCAGGATTCTTTATATGGATTCTTTTGATGTGCATTCTTGCCTGTGCATTTGGGACAAGCTCTTATCTTTTGCAAAGATAAATCAACAAATGAGGTTATTATTCCCCCCCCCACACACACACACACACGTTAAATACTCGCTGAAGTAAAATGTATTTCCTCATTGCATTGAAGGCAGAAGTCAAATCAACAACATTGCACCTCCTGTGCCCTTTGTGACTTTTTCCCACTGATCCACTTTTGAAGAGGTGAGCTATTTATTAACCACTTGCTCCATCCATTAAGCACAGGGGTCAGGGCCACTGGACGAAACTCACTAAGGGCTTTGGAACCCGGCCTGTTGAGAAGTGGCTTAATTATTTCTTAATTATTTCTTAATTACACTAGTCTTCCGTATTCTAGGAACTATTCAAGTATTTAATACAAACCAAAACAGTTTGATCAAGATCCTAAGTTCCCCTTCAACTGTGCTTAACAAGCTTTCAAAATGCTTTATATGGCTCAATCATAGACAAACATTTGCCAACCATTTCCTCAGACAGATGAATTGTAGTGCTCTGGGCTACATCAGCCATCACAGTCCATTGTCCTTTCTTTAAAATCTGCAGTATCAAAACGAGTATAAAATTATTGAAATTATTGGCAAAGGACAGACAGTCAACTGGACAGTGGTACATTTGGCCCTTCCCATCATCCCGTTCAGACCCTTAACATTAATCCCCTGTAATCTTGTCTACTGTGCAGCCAAAATGACTTGATTGCATCCTTTTTCCTTTCCCCAACGTAGTTTTAAAATCTCTTGACATGGATGATCCTCATTATTATTAAATTCTTCTTTTATCTTTTTAAAAGCAAACATTACATTTTACCAATCTTCCAGATTATGCCATCATCAGAAAAGCCCAATCCATTCTCCAAATGTTCAAACTTACCAGTAATAATGATAGATAAGAATGTGGACTCTCTATACTTCCCTGGGAGAAACCATTCTCAGAAAACAAAACAAATCCCTGAAACACTTTGTGCTGTTCTTACTTGTATTCACCGATCATGTAAAAAATATAAAAACAAACAAACATTGAACTATTAATTCCTATCTCCTTTAATTTTATTAAAAACATTCCGCGATATATCATAAGCTTTCTCCGTGTCAACAAAAGGCAGCCACCGCACTCTCCTTCCAAACATAAAACGGTGCATAGTATATGTCAGGATGCTTCCCGAGTGAAACGCGCCTTTTCTGTGTAGACTTTTCGCGGGAGGCTCGTCTGATCCTTTTGCAGCCACAGTTTGTGGCCGCTGGGGGCAGCAGCTTCTGAGACGCAAGCGTAGAGGAAGTCGATGTTTACGCGTCGTTGTAAACTACCGGGTCGGTGTTAGCGCCAGCAGTCAGGTAAACCACTGACAGGGTGAAATGTTTTTTGAGAATGATCCCCGGCAGTTCTCTTACCGCTGCTCTGCAGCGCAACAGCACTTAGCATTAGCGTGCTAGCTGGCTGGACAGGAGCCGGGACTGCGCAGAATCAGTAACCCGGGAGATCCGCGCAGCGCTGTGCCACAAAGTAATTTTCGATGTTTCTTTGTGTTTCCAGCGTGCAGTACATTTACTTCTATTGTTAGATAGGCTGTGGAGAACAGGGTTTGCAAAAAGGTTATATAAAGTAAGTCAGAGCTATACCGGTTACGGTTACAGTTTCTGTTGTCCTCTTGGCCGCATCTCTCTTTAAAAAGAATTTATGTTAGTGCCACTCTTTACCCGAATAAGTGAAGGATGTATAGCAGTCACTTTGTCAGCCACTGATTGCAATGTTTAACTTGAGTACTGAAGGCGAGAAAGACATGTCCTGGTCAAACATGACTCCATGATTCCTCACAGTGTTACTGCAGGAAATGCTCTCCAGAGGAAGAATCAGCTTTGATATTCCCAAGATTTTTAGGGCCGAGTACAATAATCTCCGTTTGAGCTGAACTTGGAAGCAGAAAGTTAGAGGTCATCCAGTTCTTTGAGACATTCCTGTTTTTAAACTAATTGATGGGTGGTGTCTCTGCTCATTGACAGATAGAGCTGGGAATGATACTAATGATGGCAGTATGAAGGAAGCCTCTATAATGTAAACAGAAGCACTTGCATGAAATGTGTGTTATTGGTTGAATGAGGCTTGCAGCAGAAAGCGCTTTGAGTGCTCACTTAAGTATAAAGGTCAGTGTATTATTATGGCCTACGCTCACTCTACAGTATTAGTGGCATGACTTAAATATTGTTATTAATAATTATCGCCATGTCGAGGGTGTTGCATGCTGAATTTGACATCACATCCTGTGTCACGTGCTTCAGTCGGTCGTGCACCTCTCACCCCCTCTTTTGTAGTGTGCTGTGGCTGCCACAGCTGGATTTCAGACTGGAGTGTACAATCGTAGGTTTTCTACCACCGTTGTAATGATGCATTCCAGTAAAGAAGCTCAGAGACATTGAAACAGTTTGAAAACTTGGAGAGTTTGTGGAAAACACAAAGTATTGGCATCCAGTTTTGACTCGTCCAGAATCTGTATATCCTTATTGTCATTGTAACAGGAGTCCCTGCAGCGTCAAGAGAACAAGTTTAAATATAATTACAAAACAATAGCATGAAATGCTTTTTTTGATTTTGCAATGTTCTTTGAGGAACAACAGTTGAGCCTTGTTGGCCTTATGATGGTTATTTATAGCACAGCTCTGTTCCTTTCTCCCTCATCAGGTTCTCGTCAGAGTGTTGGTGTCAAGATGTGTGATCAGAAGCATGTCAGACAGCACGGTGATATGATAAACAGTGACGACCAGCTGTCAGCCAGTGATGAATCTGAGCCTGAACAACAACCCAGCAGAGCTCCATTTGACCCAGACCTAGACCACAGTGATGATGATGATGATGATGATGATGTGTGTGCACCAGCAGCTATTCCCATATCTCAGAGTTCATTCAGTCTGAGTGGAGGTACCTCAGCCTTCTCTGACCGCAGCCACAGTATCTTTGACTGCCTAGACAGTATTGGCAGGCAGACTTTCTCCTCTCTAAATCAGAACACTGTTGCAGACGAATCCTCACTTCACAGTCAAAACACAAGCCATCCGTCATCCATCTGTCCCACACCACCAAAGAAGAGATTAGTCCCAGACTACCTAGTGCATCCTGAGCGCTGGACACATTACAGTCTGGAGGATGTGAATGAGAGCAGCGATCAGGAAAATAGCAGGGTGGCTTATCAGTTCCTGTCCAGCCTGGGGCAAGAGGCAAGAGGCAGTTCCCCCTGTGACCTCCAGCACAAGATGATCTTCAGACCCAAGCAACTGCCGAAGGAACAACCTAATGATCAGCTTTCTCTTGTGAGTGCAAAGGAGACAGGAATGCATCTCAGTCACCTACTGGAGGAGGAGGACGAAGAGGCAGAAGGAAGGAAAACAGAAGAACATCTAGACAAAACTGAGAAAGGAAAAAAAGATGAAGAGAAGGACACGAGTGGAGCTATGGGTCAAGGAGAGGAAAAGAAAGAGGTGCAAAAAGAAAAGAAGGTAGAAGAGTCCAGGTGCCAGTTCACCTCCTTCAGGAATATGATGACTAAAAACTACAGGAAGCGTCCCGGCTGTGAGGACAACTGATGACGGCAGTGACGTCCTCACCGTCAGCAGCTCAGTGTTTCATCGTACGGTCATATGTGAACTGTACTCTTACTCCGCATGCCTGTGTTTGTTCTGCTTCACCCAGCAGCGATGTTCCAGAGTGCTTCACTTCATACTTCCAGTTTCCTTATTGTCGAATTTTAGTTCCTGTTGTATTTGGTATTGTGAGATCAAGTGTTGAATTCAAAGGTTTTTGAGAAAATAAGAAATGGAAAGTTTTCCCAGTGATAGTAATTACTACCATTAAAAACAAATAAACACACCTTCATCACCAGTTTCACCAACACATTAATGAATGAGACAGGCAGTACACAAAATGTAAAGAGATGTTAAGTAAAATGAAGGGTTTATTATTTGCTACATCTTCCAATCTGAATAAACTGTCCTTTTTTTAATTGAAGAAATGGATCCAAATTACAAATGTTTGGATAAGTCAGTTTTAACCATTGATTTAACACTGTTGCCATCTTCTGGAATAAAACTGTTGTAAAGTTGTAAACTACTCGTCTAAAATTGTGTGGCTCCTCCGGCTGCTGAAACAGCTCTGACCCAGGGAGACCCGACTGCGAGACTTCTGAGAGTCCCCTGTGTTACAGATCCTGTAAATCCAGATTTTTTTATAGGCAGGGCCCTCGTGGATCAGACTCATTCTTCCTGCAGACTAGACTGAACTGCGATCTGGGGATTTTGAAGGTCAAGTTAATACTTTGCACTTAGTCATATTCTGTTACCATCGGGCATTCTCCTGCCTCGATGGGGTGCATGTGGGCTGCAGGTATTTCAACATCGAACATGAATATCGTGACAATATCAGCAACATGTCCACTGAACCTGAACATGTGGGGGAAAGTTATTCTCAACGATGAGTCCAGATTCTGCCTACTTCACGTGTTCTGCTTCATTAATGAATTCTCCAATAAGATAAGATAAGATAACCTTTATTAGTCCCACACGTTGTTGTTTGTTTCCCAAGCTATGCATTAGTAGAAAGAGATTGAAATCCTCCAACTAGCCACCTCCACAACACAGCTCAGAGAGGTTAAAAGGTCTTAATATCCAGCCTTATGTGAGTAAAAATGCTTTTCTCTATTTCCTAATAATAAAGCATTTTTGGTCAAATATAAATCAGAATTAGTTTGATTAATATATAAATAAGAAATGTAGTTTGAGTAGTAGAAACAACTGTTCTAATGTCTGAGTTTGGTGGTGGTGTGTGTGAATCTGAAAGTTTTGTAATTGTTTAACACAGAACTGTAATTATTGGGTTTTGCTGAAAGTTGATTCATTTTGAGTGCAAATAAAAAAATAAATATGTTTAAGTTAAATGTGGGATGACAGCTCTCTCTGTCCTGGTCGTTGTGTCCTTGGGCGAGACACTTCACCTCCCGCCTACTGGTGATGGTCAGAGGGGCCGATGGGCGATATGGCAGCTTCTGTCAGTCTGCCCCAGCTGTGGCTACAACTGTAGCTGCCTCCACCAGTGTGTGAGTGTGAGAGTGAATGAATAGTGGCATTGTAAAGCGCTTTGAGGGTCTTGAAAATTGCTATATAAATGCAATCCATCATTATGATCCAGTATAATGTAGTATATAGTAGTAGTATAATAGTGTAGTATAATTGTGATAATGATAGTGACAGGCCTCACTCAGAGCCTGACCTTGGTGTATCCAGGTGTGTGTGTGTGTAGAGCTGGACTGGAGCCACTAACCTCCAAATGTCTGACTTTTAAAATGACTTAATGCAAGAAGTTGCATAAAATAAATACAAATAAATGGTAATTGTCTCGCGGTTAGCTGACTGCCTTAGCTGCCAAAGTGATGTCAGCCCTTTTTAGCCATAACCAGTGACTGGTCCTCTCAGCAGTGTTAGCTAGTTCTCTAATTCACAACAGCCCTGATCAATGCTAACAGCTGACCTGACTGGCTACCTCCCTGGACTTTTTTAGGGGGGAGGTAACAATGTTTAAAACAATAACAATAATAATATTTATGTTTATAACGGTAGCACGGTGGCACGGTGGTTAGCACTGTTGCCGCACAGCAAGAAGGTCCCGAGTTCAATTCCACCATCAGGCCGGGGTCTTTCTGTGTGGAGTTTGCATGTTCTCCCCGTGTTTGCGTGGGTTCCCTCCGGGTACTCCGGCTTCCTCCCACCGTCCAAAGACATGCAGCTTGTGGGGATAGGTTAATTGGTTAATCCAAATTGTCACTAGGTGTGAATGTGAGTGTGAATGGTTGTCTGTCCCTGTGTGTTGGCCCTGCGACAGACTGGCGACCTGTCCAGGGTGTACCCCACCTCTCGCCCTATGACAGCTGGGATAGGCTCCAGCGCCCCCCGCGACCCTGAACAGGATAAGCGGAAGCGAATGGATGGATGGACATTTATAACGAGGTGCAATAATAATTAATGTGCAATAATAACAGTGTGCAATACACTTCTTCTTCTTTTTTTATTACTAAGTTAATATACTGTGTTGTGTTGTTTGTGTTGCGTTGTGATGTGTCATATCGTGTCGTGTTGTTATATGTAGTGCTGACGTAGGACAGTTTTCCAGTTTCATTGTACTACTGTACTATGTATGACTGTGCAATGACAATAAAGAGTTATCTTATCTTATCTATCTTACAGCCTGCCGTTGTGCCTGTCCTTTGATCCCAATCTCTCAGAGCAGCTTTGCTGTTGTACTGCCAACAAAGCCCCTGCACCCCACCTCCACTGGACGCACCTTGATCTTCCAGCCTCTGTCCTCTGCCTCAGCTGCCAAGTTGGCATACCGCTGGTTCTTACGCTCAAATGCCTCCTCAATTGCTTCCTCCCATGTTACCGTCAGCTCAACGACTGAGTTTTGAGGAGTTAGACCAAAGGACGAGGTCTGGTCGCAGAGTAGTTGTTACGATCTCTGTGGGAAAAATTAGCCTCTGATCCAAGTCCACTTGCAATCCCTGGCAACCTTCAGCGGGCCCAGGTCCAGAGTTGAGGGGCTCATCCTCGGCTTGTCTCCAGAGTTTTAAAAGGGAGAAGTAAGAATTCCACTGTATTTGAATTAAATAGGATTATTTTACTATAAATGTTCATGTGAAAATGTGCCAAAGACAAATCTAACTGAAGTAGAATTAGAACATAAACTGAACGAAACATGAAGTGAATTATATCCATAAATGGGACGCGAAAGTGAATTCTGTTTTTCTCTTACTTTTTGTGCTAAGTTTGGTTTACTGAACTCGGGGATAAAGACGAGATGACATGGACACTTTTCTGCATGCCACAATATGTTGGTTAGAATTTGTGCCTGAGATGTTGCGTTGTTCTGCATTAAGCTGCACAGGTGACAAACAGGTGCTTTTTGTATTGAATCAGTGTAACAGTGCGCTATTTCCCACATGTTGTGTGTGTGTAAAAGTGTGAAAGTTCTGCATCAAAAATAGAGCTCACATTTCAGTGTGAATAAGAAGCTGTGACATTAAACTCAGCCTTCATTTTGAGACTAGCTAACACACCTTACATAACACACCTTTAAGTTTAACTACATCCTGCACAGCTGGATACCATGATTACAAAGTGTGTCTGTGCACACTCCCTGTTACAGTTTTTCCTACATATCTCAGCGTTTAACAGCCTGTGTTTGCATACAGACTGTATCAGTGATGCTGTAATGGTTCTGTACTTGACCTGCAGGCTTTATAACTGGAGTTTTGCATGGCAACTTTAGGGATGACGGCAGTTTTGTTATCTTCTGCAAATTAGAAATGTGTTGTTAAACATGAAAAGGACAGAGGCCTTTCACTGTGTGCTGCTGTGCAGGAACAGTGTTCCTGCTGTTTGTGTCATGGTTACAGACTCATGGCAAAGTTTAAATGTGATTCTGTTTTTTAAAACAAGGAAGGCTGCTTTGTAGTAACTCCGACGATGTTTAAGGTGTGTTCAGGTTGTCTTTCCAAGAAGTAGCTTGGCTTGCTGAAGAAAACTCATGGACAGGAACATGGCATGTAAACAGACCAGCTCCAAGTTTCACTTTGCTGAGGCTTCATCAGACAGGCTGGAGTCACAGCTACAGATTCCCCAACTGAAACCATGAATCAGTCATTGCATTTTATTTTGATTCTGTGAAACTACACCCATGCAGTTTGGGCTGCATGTAGTCGAGAAGCAGACACCTTCACAAAGGACACAAGAGGAAGTCTTTTTGTTATTTTAAATGATCAGATATAAATAAGCTGTGCTGTGAATTTCAAAGTGAGGAAACAAAATAAAAGATTGAGGGTTTCTCTGAAGAATATTCTCAATGTCGCTCTCCAGCTGAGCCCTTCTGTTGCAGCTGCTATTGCTTACATGGTTGAGGAGGTGACCTACAGACCAGTCATTATGTTAGTTTGGGACTTTGGTGAATTTGTGTGGCCAGTTTAGATCACAACAGAATGAATTACAGTGAGTATAAATTTGATAAGTTAACACGCACATATATAGATGTATAGCACTGTGTCATATATCATTATTTTTCGGAAAAACCGATAAATATGACATTTAAAACCAAAGTTAAAGCATTAACAAGAGCAGAAGCCCGTTTACAGTTTAAGCGAGTGCAGTGTGGCGTACACTGACTGAGACGGAATTAAAAACGTGCCAAACACAGATCAGAGGACAGGTACTGTTTTTCTCAGGATTTGAATGCTCAAGTTAACTACACTTCCCGGGGAACCTGAACGCAACAGTCTTGTTTTGAAATGTGACGTCAGTGCTACAGGTAAAAAGGCACACCTGTACCGCCACACGGACAAACACGGAGCTAAAATATGCGGAAGTGAAGCGCTACGAGCTGGTTTAGAAAGAGTTTCCATCAAAGTTCCTGCGGCAGTGATGGAGAGACACTGCTGAGCTGCTGGGTGGAGAAGTGTCGAGAGACGGAACCCACATCTGCTCTGAAGCACCTTTCAGCATGTTCTTCAAGAAGGTCGAGGTAAATGGAGCGCCTGTGTTTTCATCCTCTGACAGAGATGGGGCGTCTCTGGCTTTTTACTGGAAACTGACCTGGATAGAAATGCAGCTGAATGAAATCATGTCCACGAAGAAAATACTGCTTTATTATTGATTTGTAGAAACGTTTTTAGCTACTCTCAGATTATTTCAACAGTCTGAAATCCTGTCCTGTTGTCGTGAGGCTTGATTCTCAGTTTAGTGTGAAGAATGCCAGGCGAGTCTGTACTGACTTGACATGTAGTACCGAATAAAAACACGGTGTTTGTATTTGAGAAGCAGGATGTTCAAGGGTTGCACCTAAAGAAAGTAACCCAATAGCTGGTAAATCAGTTTCAGGTTAGGATGGGCACTGGGTCACACCCATGCTAAAGGTTGCCACTGACAGATAGTAACTGTGTGAATGCTGTGAGCCACTTAACACTGATACGAGCTTCACAAGCAGCAGAAACAAAGGAGCTCCGGGCAGGTCTGGGCCTGCATGCAGCCACAGGCCGGAGAGGACAGAGTCTGACACTCTGCTCATGTTTCTAAACTTTACAAATGTACGGATGTTTAATAGAAATGTGTCACTGACATCCTGCTTCCACTCATAACAAACGGTGACTATAATAAACGTGTGTTGGATGATTTAGTGAAACTAAATTTACATCAGTAATGATGTCAGCTGGACTCTGCACTCTGACTTGATTAAGGAAAATGAAACTGGTTGTAATTGTCAGGTCAATGACAAGCAGGCTATCGGTCCAGACCAACCTGCTGTGAATTCTCTCCCTCTACAATAAATACACACTGGTCTTAGTACTCTTTGTTTTTTAACTAAGTACATGAAAGATATTAGAAAAGGAAAGGGCGTTAATAATAAACCATTTCAACATTAAATGTGGAACTTCATTTGGAGCTCTTAAAGACTTTGTGAAGCACGTCGTACCTTTAGGTGTATATTTGGTAATGCCAGCTACAAACTGTAGAAGCTGAGCAGAAACAGGTTGGTGTTGAATGTTGAATCCAATTGTGATTAAAATGGTTTGTGTGTGTTAACATGAAGAAGGTGCAGTTGGCAGCAGATGATCCGTCTCAGACATGGACAGGTGCAGAGTTGCATGTTTTACAGATGAACAATGACGTATATTTCCAAAATTGTGGAAATGAAAAACATTCATATGTCAGAATCATAGTGTTTTAGCTAAAGAAAGAAAATCCTCCAGGCAGGATAACTGGCAGCTGTGCTTGTAAGCATTGCTTTTCCAGTATTTAGTCATGAGTAAGTGTGTTACAACTCATTACATATGTGGTTATGGCCTCCCTGTTTCATAGTGTGAAGATACATAACACATTACAAAGTTGTTCCAGG